TGGTGATGACGTCATAAATTATTTTTATCTTATTAATCAGTTACATCATGACCACAATTTTGTTTCCCAATAAAGAGAAGAAGTTACTAAAGAGAAAACAAAACTTTCTGTATGTGTAACATTTTTCATGTTTATGTAAATTATGGAAATGTGCTTAAGGGTCTCCAATTCCCCACACCTACCCTAGTACTAGAGATTAAAGAGGGCACTAACGAGAATGGAAAATGGACACTTATTGCAATGGAAAATGGGAATTTGTCGAAGGAAAAGGGGCACGTGTCAAAATAAAAGGGGCACTTATCAGAGTAAAAGGAGCACTATTCCTATGTAAAAAGGAGCACTTTTCGGGTGCTTGAAAAAGTGTGGGGGGGGGGGCACTGTGCCCCTACTCCCCCCTCCCCCCCCCCCCCCCAGGAGGGCGGCCTCTGCTGGGGAGTATTCCTACCATTATGGTCACCGTGAAGGCATAGGCATAACTAACACAAACTAACACGGTAAAGAGTTAATATTCCAGTTTATAGACTATTATGTACATGGCGCTATATAGGGTGGTGAAAAATTAAGAGTGCAGTTTATCCATAGACAATGTACATTGCGCTATAGGGTGGTGAAAAGTTAGCGTATGGTGGTGAAAAATTAATAGTGCAGTTTATCCATAGAAAATGTACATGGCGCTATAGGGTGGTGAAAAGTTAGCGTAGGGTGGTGAAGAGTTAATATTCAAGTTTATCCATAGACAATGTACATATGACGCTAGGGTGGTGAAAAGTTAGCGTAGGGTGTTGAAGAGTTAATATTCCAGTTTATCCATAGACAATGTACATGGCGATAGGGTGGTGAAAAGTTAGCGTAGGGTGGTGAAGAGTTAATATTCCAGCTTATCCATAGACAATGTACATGACGCTAGGGTGGTGAAAAGTTAGCGTAGGGTGTTGAAGAGTTAATATTCCAGTTTATCCATAGACAATGTACATGACGCTAGAGTGGTGAAAAGTTAGCGTAGGGTGTTGAAGAGTTAATATTCCAGTTTATCCACAGAGAATGTACATGACGCTATAGGGTGGTGAAAAGTTAGCGTAGGGTGGTGAAGACTAAATATTCCACTTTATCCATCGACAATGTATACATGACGCTGATGTGGTAAAGAGTTGAGATTTAAAAAAATATATCCATAGAAAATATGTACATGACGGTGACATAATGGTGAATAGTTTCTGTGATTTGGTATTTAAAGAGTCAATGCCCCTTTTCCCAGAGAAGGCATATTTATTATGCATGCATGTTCACAATTTCACAATTCATTGAAGTTAACATCACATGAAAAATGAATATAAAATAATATAACAAATCATTTCAATTTTACAATCCATTTGAATTGACTTCACATGAAAAAGAATATAACAATGATTTATCATAGACACGTTGCAACTAATATACAGTTTGAAGAAAGAACACACAAAGGTGATGAAACATAAGCAAATAGAGCTTGAATCGTGTACCACCTTTCAAATATATAACATATGACAAATAACATTCATGCATGACTTATAATTATGGTGCGGGGATATATTGCAATTCAAAAGAAGATAATAACTTTTTAATTTCTAACATACATGAGGTGAGGTCTTTGATTTGCCCCTAAGTACTGCGCTTTACCCCCCCCCCCCCCTCCCTCCATCATCTACTCTTATTATATTCGACCACCATGCCTATTTTAATTGGTAGCCAGCCATCGTTGCACTGATCATTCCTGACGGATACAATACACAAAGAATATATTGCGTGTGTGTAGTATAGCGGTTGTATGTGTACAATGCGATCCTTACACTTATCAAATTGGCAATTTTTAGACATTGGATGGGCTACCTTCATCTCCGATTAGGTGTGTGAAGAAAAGCTTCACCCGTAAGTTACGTCTAAAACAAATATTAACAAAAAAAGTAATTCCTGGTTTCATATTCTCTACCACCTATCATCACCTGCTTCGGATAAAGTCGATTTGGGAGCCTGGATACTGTTCTGTTACGTCGTTAAATGTGAGTTTAAAGATTGAAAATCATTCTTTCATGATCGAGTTTACGGAGTGAAGCTGAAGAGCGCTTAGCTGAGCTGTATTGTATGCAAGTTGCTGTCGGCCGCGACGCCAAGGCCGATCGAGCTGCTATAGGCTAGCTAGGCCCTAGGGCTAGGCCTAGGGGCGGTATTTTGAACCCTGTGTTATCTCTAATATTGTTGTATCTTTGAAGATAAGATAAAGTTGGTATTCTGAACATTGTTGTAACTTTTGTGTTATCTTTTGTTGTATCTTTTCTCTCATCTTATTGGCCGCGCGCGCGCCTGGGCTCATACTTTGGTGCGCTTGTAGTTGTAATTGTGCGTATAAAGTGGCATTTAATCCTCATTTGCATAGATCTATGACTATGCGCAGGGGAGATAATATGTCGAGATAATTGGTATTCTGAAAGTTGTTGTATCTTTTATCTTATCTTATCTTGCATGGTATTTACAACAATATTTACAACAGGTAGGGGGTTGTCGTGGTGATATAATGGTGGCAATATTTTTTGCCCAGAACCAACTTCGTGCCAATAGACGAGTTAGAAGAAGATTGTGTGTTGAGCGGAAATATCACAGATGAGAACTTTCTAAGATATTACATGCTAGGATATGACGATTTTAATGCTCTCATCTTAACCAATATAGTGAAAGCGTGATTTGTCTTCATGATCCACATTCAACAGCGCATAATGATGACGCGTGTTATGTTTAGCAACAGGTTCAGTGAAACTAACATGCATATTGAAATTAACATGCCACTTAGAAATGTAGTGCGGGGGACCGTTTATCGAAACCGTCATAACTACAAGATCAACGACATCTCGCCACTGTCGCGCAACTTGTCAGCTAATTAAGTGTTTCACGAAGCCGTCTCTGCCAAGATGAGCGACAACTTCCGCGACAAGCGAGTTGTCACTGCTCCGAAACCTGTCATATCTTTTTAATTGCTGAAAAGCGCCATCACAAGTCAGTTTGTTGCCATTCCATGGGCCGCGAAATTGACGATTAGTTTCACTATCATTTTGAGAAAAATATAGACGAGTTCGGTACGTAATTCTCTGGGATATGCGAAATGCAAATGTACAAAAGTGAGAATACAAATTATACAGAAACTTTAAAAAGCTGAATATAAACATTAAATCACAAATCATTAAACTATAACATATGAATAAGAGAGATAAGAATGTTACACACCGTTTTCCATAGTCGATCCATAGTCTTTTCTTATAGGATACCGTCATACCTTTGGGGCCTATGTGCATTATTATTCCCTCTCTAATTACTTCTTCCAAATTATATTTTCAATATCAAATCAATTATATAACGAGTATTTATGAGACTCTAGAATAAAAACTGGCTGAGAAAAGGCATTTTGCCTAAAATTTCTCGTCAGAATAAACAAAAAAGTACGTATTGATAAACTATCACATAACGGTATCCTTCCACTAACTTATGATTCGACTGTCAAAAAAAAACACTCACCGATTTTTTTTAAATTTAAGAATCTTTACAGAAATATGCAAATCGTTTGATGATGTAAATATGATAATGACACTATTTATTATTTATTTTAGGAGAATTTATATGTATATATTTCTTTTTAAACAATTTCAGCCCCAAAACTTGTTTTGGATTATTCTTCATAAATCAAATGGATCGTGACAAAGACTATCTTCTTGAGCTGCTAGTATCGCGATATATCGATATCATGTCTGTCATGGCTTTGTGAAACGGTTTATCCACTTCATGACATCTCCGTAGGTCGGCGACAAAGATATGACTGTCATGGAGTTGGTTTCGAGAAACGGCCCCCAGCTGTTTAGGCACTGTTCATTGTTATGCATATAAGTGCATACACACAATGCAAGAGTATGCAAGGGTCTTAATTGTGTTCACTACATACACTGATATACATGTAAAAGCACATTGAGTCTGGATTAAACTACTGTGGCGGACACGATTCGCCACCTTGGCTTGACACGGAGTATTTGTCAGGATGCCCGTGTCTAGCTGGCCTGGCGCTCCCCGTCGTTCGTTTGGACAAAATATATGCCCGCAGCTTGATGGCTGGAGTTCTTTCACTGCTCACGTCACAGGGCGTATTAACAATCATGCATCCGTCGACTGCAATCGGTCACCCCAATCGTTGTGCACAGCAACAGTCAATTGAACATCCTTCGAGCAATCAATCAATCAATCACCAATCAGTCTCCATGCTTTGTCAACTCCTGTCACTGATTCTCGATCTCATCGTCTAACTACGGTTTCACTGTTCTATGAAATCAGACCAATCATGAGATGTACGTCGAATTCCTTTAATGCGAACCAACCAACATTCGGGGTAAACTCGATCAACACAAGTACAAGTGCATGTAGACTAAATGTAAGACTTAACTAAGGGTTGGGCCAGGCTAACTATCAGGCCAGCCTCGGTGAGGCTGGCCTGTATCGGATACAGTGCAGTGGAGAGCCCTAGATACACAATCCTGCCCGTTTTAATAATTTCCCTATACATAACCGTAAAAAAGGGCAATTATGTCCTCGTTAGTAAAACAACACTTCAACACAATATTTCTGCTAATCCCATTAAATCTTCACATATAATCTTCAGTATAACCCCTTATTCCTGATAAGATAACTTTCATACAAATAATATCCCCAAAAGAAACATGATAATTGCACCAATATGATTGTTATATGTAATTTATGCTCATTTTCCTTCAGTTTGGTAATTGCTAAATCAACGATGCGCCATATTGCTAAAGCGCATGCGCGTACAACAAATAATGCTTAACCTTCGTCCAATACTAAAACCCTGATTTGTTACACTACCAAAGCAACCACACATGTTTCTGCAGGCTCCATTTTGTTTGTCTCTACTAACATATTATAATTTTATTTAGCTTAATAGTTATCATTTTCCAACCCACAACACAACAACGCGCGTAATAAGGGCTCAAATAACTAATTACGCCCAAGATCGCCCAAGAAATCCTGAAGGAAACTACCACATGCAAGGGAAACATCTGCAATCAGTGAAAGCTGAAAAGGACCTTGGAGTGACAATTGACTGCCAACTGAAATTTCATCAACATGTATCATCAGCGGTCAGTAAGGGGTACCAACTACTGGGAATAATGAAAAGAACTTTCTCGAAACTGGATAAGACAACACTACCTATTCTATTCAAGACCCTAATTAGACCACACCTTGAATATGGGAGTTTTCTTTGGCATAGCAGATATAAAGAAGATGCAAAGAAAATCGAAAGAGTGCAAAGAAGAGCTACCAAATTGGTTCGAGAAATCAAGGACCTCCCATATCAAGAACGACTTAAATACATGAACATGTACTCTCTGTTCTACAGAAGAAGAAGAGGAGACATGATCGCAGTCCACCAGATCATGCACGGACTAGTTGACATTCCACAAGATCATTTCTTCTCCCAACCTGCAAGTAGAAGCAGATCCACGAGAGGGCACTGTCTCAAGATCCAGAAAGAACACTGCAGACTGGATGTTAGAAGTAAGTCTTTCAGCAGACGAATAATACAAGACTGGAACAGTTTGCCAGAAAATATAGAGGTCTTGGCAACAACGGACAAATTCAAAAGACACATAGATAAGCATTGGTGGGAGTATTGCTTTGATCTCCCGTGACTCCACTCCTGTGCATGCGCATACACTCAGTAATAAATCTAACAGGCTAAACCTAGAAGCAGTGACCGGGAATTACAGGCCAACGCCTTCTTCCTGTACCAGATGATGATGATGATGATGAAGATTAGTATGCGCTAGGCGCATCTTCAGATATGGCATAAAGTATTCCTATTGGTTGACCTACTTATCATGCTTATATAAAATAGAATTTGATTGGTAGGGTCCATAAAAATGGGCGTGTCATCAATGGTCAAAGATAAGATAGAGGCGGTCTTTCAAGAGATAACACAGGGATAAAACAGTGTTCAGAATACCAACTTACAACAATATTAACGCTGTGTTATCTCTGGAAGATACAACAAAAGATAACACAAAACTTACAACAATGTTCAGAATACCGCCCTAGGTCTATACTATAGAGAAGGCTGCGTTTGTGCAGTGCAGTAATTGCAGACCCTTCCCATCTGACTTGCGCTATTCTCTTGCCATATGATCCATCCCTTCCATACACTGTCACAGGTCAATGATTATATTTTAAAGATGACACTTCACATCTTTACAAAATTCATGCCCATCGCCTGCACTCCAAACCCTCCTACCATCAGCCTACTACTTCGAATGCGATAAACTTGCTGATCTCCCAAAAGCAGAGGAACAACAACAGAGAGAAAGTTCAATAGCATAATATCGCTCAGGCGAAGCTTTGCGTACAAAAAGGGACAAATCTTGCCCACTGTAATTCTATTTTTCATTCAGGCGCATAGACAGGAGGGGCGGTAGAAGCGGTCGCCTCCCCCCCCCCCCCTCCAAAAAAAAACAGAAAAACGCCCGCCAAAATAGAGAGAGAAAGAGAGAGAGAAGAGAGGAAAGAGGAAAGAAAAAAGTAAGAGGACATAGGAAAAAAAAGGAGCATGCAGACAAAAAAACATTTTTGAAAATTCAGACAAGGATTAAGAGTTGAGAGAGGTAAAACGAATCATCTTCTTTCCCTAATAATTTGATGAAATGTTAAAGCTTCCGCGCTTGTCATAGGAGGAGGGGAAACTACCCCCTCCCTGCACCCACCCCCTAGTCAGGATTCAGGATTTTTTAAAGAGTTCTAAAAACTTCTAGACTGTAATGATTGTGTATTTTGTATTGTGCAATTATTTATTGTCGCAGAGAATTCTCATCTACCATGCCTTCATTATTATAGATTTCGATAACAGCATAAAAGATGGCGAACCGTAGCTACAACAATACTACTCAACAAGCTGTCTCGAACCAGGGAGTTGGGATTGGGACTCCCCACTCGAACAATGTCAATGGCAACAACACCACATATCATCGTGGTTGCGTCTCCAAGGGCTTTCAGGTATGATGCAATAACGTATTTTCCAGACACTTAACATATTTTTTTTGTACTAAAAAAAAGCTTTTCAATGCAATGCCTTGAAAAGTTGGTAACATTGATTACACAAATGAAATACAGATGAATGATATATGAAGTCCACTAACTTTGAGGCGGTGAATCTGCTGCATTTACTTAGCGAGGATCATCGAAACAATGGAACCATTCAATTTTAAATTTGAATAAGCAAGAAAAATTGAGCCTCGTCTTAATTAATATCAAATACTTATTCTGTCCATTAACTTTAATTAAACACTGAAATAAAAAATAAATCATATTTTACATTAATCAAAGGTTCAAATGATCGATGAGATAATTATGCAAATTTTTCTAGTTTAAAAAAAAAAATTGACTTTGAAAATGTTGTTTATAACAAATATCCAGACCTTTATCATTGTAACAACCAAAACAATTTGGCTTTAACAAATTTTTAAAGATTTTTTTAATGGACCTGTCAAGCCATTAATACCATAGACCAGGCGCGAATACAGGGGGGGGGGGGGGGGGGGGGTTGATGGTCGAACCCCCCCCCCCCCATCAATTTACATAAACATACTTGTACCCTACAATCCTAAATGTATACATGTTTGTAGGCCTTATAACTTGGAGGATGTATGTACATGTATGGGATGTTGAAATTGAGAGTTAATAGCCCCCCCCCCCCCTCCTTCTCCCTTTGCAAGGGGGAAACCTTTTAGGACTGTTCTTTTAATATAGAGATTATTGAATCTGAAGTGTGTGGACTATCTGCTATTCCACTAAAAATTCATAACGAGTATATATAGCTCTGAAGATCTGCATATGTAGTTTATTAAATTTGCAATGGGTGTATAATATTGTCAGGAACATTTAACCTGACACTGCCCTTTCCCCACATATTTTTGAAGTTGTTTCGCTTACTACTCCATTTTTGTTAATTCTTCCCTTTTTGTCGTTCGTTTCTTTATGCAGGTGACAGGTATAATGCACATTGTGGCTGGAGCTTTGTGCATAGTGCTTGGTATTGCAGCCATCATTCTCCAAGCCTATATTTCATACCTGGCTATGCCCATTTGGGGAGGTTTACTGGTAAGTCAACAGAGATACTCGGTAAATAATGAAAACAAAAAATATACCGGTATATATTTATTTAGAAGCGACTTAACTACTTTCACAATTGGTCCAATTTGTCATATGTTGTTATTTTTTATATGATCCATGCAGCAAAATGATTTAATTACAACCTCAATTTTTCCAATCAGCGTAAGTTTCCTAGCATGAAAATAGCCAGTGTTAACAACTGACAAAAGTTTCTGATGTTACAGCATGCATGATGCAGGATACTTGTATTCCTGCAGATTTGTGCCCATTACTACACATACATGTACATGTACATGTGTAACAAAATGAATGGCTCATACGTTAGCCAAAGCGAAACTACGACAGAAATAGAAAAAAAACAAGAATCTGACTTGCTACGTGACATTTTGAAATCATTTCAAAGACAAAATATGCCACATGATAAATGTAGTGAGGTGTTTTTTTACATTACTATTTGGAAAGGCTATATTTGATCAGTTATCTAAAGATATTCATGAAGTACAAATTTTTGTGTAAATATTTCTTGTTCATGCTCTGAATTAATCCTTTTTCTAGATCTTCATAGCAACTGGCACAATCGGTGTTGCTAACTTCTACAAGCCTAAAAGCAAGAAAATTGTAAGTATTGTTGAACAACCTTCCAGTTTCTTTATTTAAGTTAAACATAATGTTTTATGTACAGAAAATGATAAATCAACTCTGTTTCCATTGCCCACAGGTGTGGTTCTTAAGATTATCCTTATGGAAGTACATGAATGTTTATGGTAGCTATAAATAGTTGTGTAGGGTTTTTATCTTTTTAAGCAGTTTATTTTTACAGCTTTGATATCATACACATTATCTATGATCTTGGCACATACATGTAATTGATCGAGGTAAAAAAAAAAGGGGTCTAAAAAAGTTCAACCGATATTGAAAAGACGTGGCTACGTGCCTGCTGATACTAAGTTGGTTTTAGAATTTGAAAATGAGAAAAACAGATCACCAAGTAAATGCCTATAGACAAAATAAGAAATTCATGAATGTGTACTTGTAATCAATCAGATGCAAACTGGCTACACTGTGACATACCTTTAGAGCATTTCTCTCTCATTTGCCCTGTCCTGTACAAAAATATTTCATAATTATCCATTTCCTTTCAAACAAATATTTCTTTACAGCTACATTGCTCAGTGCTAAATACATGTATAATTATTAGACTAAGATCTTGGAACAACCTCTGTATTACATAGCACTTGCCGATTATGCGCAATGTGCCCTGTACCACCCAGGTGACCAATTGTTGAAGGCTGTTTAATTACATTTTCTAGCATCACTGATAAAATAGTATCAACCCATGGAAGGCAAGAGCTAACAGAATTTCAAAGATGAATTAAAATGTGCAATATGATGTTACCTTTATTTCTTACTTCTTGTATATCAAAGTTGTTATAATTATATAATTCCTTTTGATTTTTATAAAGGTAATAGCCTACCTTGTGATGTCCACCATTTCTGCATTTTTCGCTTTCATGATGATGGTAACATTTGGGATTTTTGTTGCACAAGATGACAATTATTATGAGAGCTTTATTTGTTATCCCCTTCCAAGGACCCACTGCGAGAGCCCATCGGTAAGTGTAGTTATGTAACAATAATATTAATATAGGTTTTCCTGTCAATTTTATAAAGGTAATAGCCTACCTTGTGATGTCCACCATTTCTGCATTTTTCGCTTTCTCGATGATGGTAACATTTGGGATTGTTACTGGACCAGATTACAATTATTATCAAAGCTTTATTTGTTACCCCCTTCCAAGGACCCACTGCGAGAGCCCAATAGTAAGTATTATGTAACAATAATAATATTAATATAGGTTTTCTTGTCAATTTTAACACTCTTTTCTTTCAATTTTTTTTTTTTTCATTCAATTTTGTCCCAAAACTTCCTAATCTTGCACATCTCATGGTCAATTTTGTCATTTTGTAATAAATTTCGTCAAAGTGTCATTCAAATTCGTCACAATTCACAACTTTCTTATTGTTTGTCTGATTTTGTTCAAAGTTATGCCAATCTGCTTCTCTCATTTATCTGCTTTCTTTCAGAGCAATTTACTATAAAAGTTAGATTTTAGATACCGTATCCTCATAAAACACCTTCACAGCTCAGAAGAACTTCTCAGAAACACACAAAATTTACAAAGGAGGAAAAAATATGTGAGCTGTTTACCATGATGCAGCACCCTCTATATTGAATATCGAATAGTAATTGTAATAGTGTTATTATAGTGGACAGGTACAAAATGAACACATACATGTACTTTTGCCTTTGCCAGAAAGTGAAAAAAAAATAGATCACAAACGTGTTAGTGGATGCCTTCAATTTTAACCCATGTATTTTGTGCCCCTATCTCTGACCAGTGGTCTCGCATTCTCGTCAACTCTGTCTTGATCTTGGTCTTCCTTCTGGAGATAGCTTGCGGAGTGACATCGGCCTCTATGTCCTGCTACAAGGCATGTATGTGCTGCCGACGTTGCTGCAAACTGTGCAAAGATGAGCCAGGAAACTCAAATATGGTGAGTGGGCCGTTCTCCGACAAATCCTCCGTTTGCAGCTAGGAGATCATCGAGTCATATACAGTCTGCAAAAAAAAAATTGAACCCTTTATTGTTCACAATTTTTTCTTATACACCATCCATAAAATATAATGAAATGTATATCAAATAAAGGGAAAATTTATACTCTACCAACATCAATTTAGATCAAGTTTTGAACCTTTATGCTTCGATGGGCACATCTATTTAACTGTTGAAGGGTTTGATTAAAAAATTTGCAAAAATAGAGTAAGTAGCCATTGAAATGTTAGTGAACATGTGCATCTGTAAAATATTCTTGTTCAACGTACAATGAAAACACAGAATGAGAAACAATGAGAAACATTGAGCTTTTGATGTCAACCATTAAGATTTTTTTTCTCAATTTCTAGGTCTACTTTGCCGCCAATATGGGAGGTGTACCTATGATGACAGTGCCCAATACACAGTGTTCAAGACCAATCTACATTGCAGGTAAAGCCCATAAAACACTATACGATCCCCCTGTGATCCAATTTTAGAAAAAATGGCAACTATATCAGAAATTTAAACAAACATCTTCTTTCTGATTTAGGTTCTAAATGATAATAAGGATACTAACAACCTGAATTTTTGCGGATTTAAATCTGAATAAAAGCTGAATTGACTTCAAATCGTAGACAGCTGCACTACTCCTCTGACGTCACTACGATTCTGAGCTGATTTAGCTTTTCTTCCTCCAAGGAAACGTGGAATCCCTCCAAAAACAATGAAATGAAATATAGTACTACCCGTATACAGATCCTCAGCCATTAAGTTGCTACCCGTTTAGATATGCATATCAAATGCAAATTCTTTCAAAATCGGATGTTATATAGTGTGTGGTGGGCAGAAGTTAATTTTGTCTATTTATCAAATTTTTGCCCTTTAAAAAGAAGCACATGAAAACAAGCTTCTCATGGGTTTTAAAGTTTGTGTTTCCTTCTAGTCATGTTCAGTCATGTTCCTGTAGGACCTTAGCATGTTCATGGTTTAACCAAAATCTGGCATTTCAACATGCCAATTCAAACAATGTTACTCAGTGAAGTATGTATGGATTAAAGGTAATACAAAGTTTTGGGAAATTTTGAAAATTGGGTGGATAGTGATTCTTTACAATTTTGATATATTTGGATGCTTCCGTGGATGTATTATAAGCACTAAAAAAATTAGACCCTAAAACACTTCTGCTTTCTAGAAAAATTGGATATAAAAATTTAACGGTGCTCCCGGTAAATTTGGATAAATTACAAATAGCGCCTACGGCCGTACAATGGTAGCTGCGACCATGACATTCTCAGAATATGTAGTTGTAATATATAATTTCCAAATGGGAATAGCTAATCAGTCGATTTAGTCAAGAAACATTGTTTTATAGCTTAATAAATATCTTGACCTTGAGAGGGAGCTATACAACATAAAGAGTTTATTATTTACAATTTCATAACTTTAGACTCGATTTCAACCGCGACAACGATCACTGAACATTGTGGGATCGCATATGCTTCCAATATGTTCATTTGAACCAAATTCATGACCCCATACCAAAACTTTGTATTACCTTTAATGTTATCAATGTCTCAATTGAAAGCATATTACTTTTTTTTATGAATAGTTACAAATGATATCTGTAGAGTCCATAGTTCGTTCGCAGCAACAGTTTGTCTTCTGGGATACACTGTATATAAAATTAGAGGGAAAAAAAATCATCTTCAATGATGTACTTGTACAAACTAAAAAAAATTCTCTTCTTGGAAATTAAAAAACAACACATGTATTCATTACCACAGGTGGTACGTCAGGCAATGCTACCCAGCCTGGTCAATTGATGTATCTGGCACCAAGCCCTCAGCCTCAATCTTATGTAGCTATGCCAGCAGGGACCCAACAGAACCAAACTATCCCACAATTGCCACCACCCCCGCAGTATCAACAAAACCCACAACTGCAGCAACAGTTCATACAACCGCAGCCTGCAGGAATGGTCCAGCAGCTGAGTGGCCTTCCAGCGGGACAAGCTGGCTTCGTCCAGGTCCAAGGCCCAGGGCAGATGCAGCCTCAAGGTCTTGCTCAAACCCAGCCAGCCACAGAACAGCAACCACCTCAACAGCCACAACCAGCAGGCATGGTCCAGCAGCCTAGTGGCCCTCAACCAGGACAAGCAGGCTTCTTCCCGGTCCAGGCCCCGGGGCAGATGCAGCCTCAAGGTCTTGGTCCATCCCAGGTAGTCCAACAACCACAACCAGCAGGAATGGTCCAGCAGCTAAGTGGTTCTCCACAAGTTGGCTACTTCCAGGTGCAAGGACCTGGAGGACAGATCCAGATGATCCCTGCCCAAGCACTCTACCCACAGGTCATGATGGCGCCAGCTCCTCAGCAACTTGCACCAACTCCGCAACCTGTACTGACTCAGCAGCCTGGACCCGCTCAGCAGCAAGTCCAGCAGACAACAGCGCCCTCTAAGCCAGCTGAAGACCAAGCTAAGGAAGAAGTCAGCGAACCAAGCGAGTTGCCTTCTGGTCAAGTCACTTCTGGCCAGTTCAGTGACCAGGCTGCACTCATCTAAGCTTAACAATGAAAGTTCATCTATCTTCAACTTACTAATAGTCTTTGTAATCAACAGTCCTGACAGATGCTCCATTTTAATTTCATTGTAGAGAAATATCAATACACACAAGATGTAATTACAAAGTATCTCCACGTTATACATTAGTTGTAAATCTAAAGAACAATCTGACATTCTTGTTAAATGATTTAACTAAAATGATCCAATATCTTTGAGTACCGGGTAGGTGACTAGGTGGACCCTCTCAAAGATATTCAGTGTTGTCACTGTTAGTAGTACCGGCTGGAGTTTGGTCCTCATCAGCAAGTTATATGTAAAGCAAATATGACTCTTTTTCTTAAAAAGTAGTTTTTATTCAAATCAGTAAAGCATTTGAAATTAGTGTTATGATACTAGCCAAAATTATTTTAAGATATGTACATGTATTTTACTTTTTTATATTAAAGCTAAGGTTGTACTGGTAATTTGAAATATCTATGTTAAAGTACTATGTTATGACTCAGAGTCGAATTGATAGTTTGGGATTGTACATGTAAATACTAATTTGTATATTATGTATGCATACATGCAATTCTTATACCATATTACATATAATCATAGAAAAAATTTCACTGTACAAATTGAATCTCTATTAATTCAAATTTCATTGTAAATGTGCCTATAGGTGTTTTACTTTAAAGCGTATCTGCCATAGTTTACAGGAGGGATTAGACTGCCCTGCAAGGTCACTGGACAGATGGTTATCTCATCAACTCAGCTCTCAGTTAACATAAGAAAAAGAGGATCATGGGGGACCAATGGTCACCGATTAGGCATGGTTTGTTATATAGAGGGCGCAAGTAGCTACAAGTAGCGCAGTGGGCCTTTAACTCTTTTTTTTTTTTTAATTTGATTTAATCACATTTTATTTGTTGATAATGTTACCTGCCATTAACATTTAAGAGGCTTTCACTGATTATGCAGTGTAGATTATGAAATGAACAATCTATCATTTATAATTAATTATATTAATTGTGTAGAGAAAGTTCATATTTTTCTCTTTAAAATTATCCAGATCATATTCAAATACAAGATTCGTTATGAATTGATCAGTTCTCTTAGATTATCTTGTTAAGTAGAATTTAAAGATTTAATTTCTATTTCTCAAAATTTCAAAACCCTATTTTCCTGCCCTTGCTCATATTGTAAATGAAATCCAACTGAAATAGATGTTATGCACCTTTGTTAAACTACTGTGGGTAACGGGGGAACAGAAACTTATTCATGAGTAAAACTCAGCTGAATTTTGTCTATTTAGTGTAATATATAATAAGGAAAATGCACTGCTGCAATCAATTTGTGAATGCAGCTGTCTTATATATAAATATATGAATGGGTTTGGTTTTTATATCTTGTTTAATCTTGTTTTCTTTCATTTCATTTTTAAACAAAAAACATTCTCAAAACTTTTTAGGATATATATTTTGTTTGTCACACAACAGTACTATATACTACCAGACTTTAAATAGAGGAAAATTATGCAGAATATATATTACGTAACCAACTTTTTCTTCAGGAACAAAGTGGCTTATAATTAAGTGCATACCATATACATTTGGTCAAAAAAAGGAAATATGGAAAAATGAATACTAAAGAACAGTCAAAATGCATCTCTTTTCCACCCAAGATTGTGGAGGAGCAATGGGATACTGCCATGTGAATACTGCCAGATACTCCCATCTTTGCAATTGTTTTCTCAGCGACTCATTTCTGGTTAAAAACGTTTGCTCACTCATGCATGAGTGGTATGATACCAATTGCATATCATAGAGAGGTTTGATTTTTGTTAATATATGAAAGATAAGTTTATATTGAATACATGTATATATTTGAAAATCTTTACTATGAATATTTGTTCACCTTCTTTCTATTAGAATTACTTAACAATTACAATTATTATGTACTATTTAAATCAAACATGTGTATTATGTCTTTAATGGCTTTTAAAGATATTTGTCATGCCTATTTGTGTAACCTTCTAAAGGTGTAATTCTTAACAGCTCTTATTGTCATGTGGTATGCTGGCTTTCAGTCAATAATAAACTTGCTTACTAGCAATCAAGTATCGTCTCATAATTGTGAATACTTTCATCCAATTTATTTTATTTTGGCGGTGTTTCTTCCTTGTTATAAAGTTCAATGTAATCCAAGAATAATTTAAATAATAATTTACTTTAATAACAATGTAATAATATTCAGGCAATTGTTCCTCATATCTAGGGAGATGCCACCTAAAGTTCTGGCCATGGTGGTCCATTTGCAATTTTAATATCTTACTACATGTATCATCTTTATTGCAAAAAGGTAAACAATTTGGCTTATTCACAATTTCTGATATGTGGAAAAGATACAACAGCGCCGTACCCCCTAAAAAATTGTGCCTGTAAATTACCGAAATGGGTCATCAATTCATTTTTTCTTTCTTTGGCGAATTTTTGTGGTCTCAGTTTGGGATCTTTGAGCTAATACATACATTAATAACTACTCTCCTAGAATTACAAATTTTAGATACTAAACATTGAAATCATGTTCGTTGATGTAGATAATGTTTATGTATGTGCAGACCATCATACATGCCTGGCTCCCTCTTTAGCTGAAAACTTTACATCTCTCACACACCTCAGGTCTTGCAATACATGTGGCGCTGTAATTCATCTACTTCCTATTTCATGTATATCCTGGCAAGTTAGAGGGAAAAAAAGAGGTAAAGAGAAAGAGGAATCCGGCCAACTCCCCCGTTTTAACTATTGATTTCAGCCCTTCCTATGGAAAAGGTCGAGAAAATCTAGTTTTCAGTGAACTAGCTACAAGTTTATTTCAAGAAATACAAAAACAGAACATGTACATTGAATTCAAAGTGGAAGTTGTGAGCAGTAATGACTAAGACAAGCAGATTTTAGATGCATGTTAATTGGCCTACTTATATAAATATCATATATGTCTTTCAGTACAAATTACAGACATTGTATACAATGTACAGTGTGTCTCTAAAAAAAGTAAACCCAACTTCAACGGCAAATTTTCAGAAAACTATAAAATATTTACACATTATTTTTTCATGGTTAGATAGTCCAATAAGTCCTCTGTCCAATTATATCACTTAGGTTATCTGACGCTCATGCATGACTGAGCATGATTCAACTTAGTGAACTGGTGTCAAATCATCACTGTGGCAAGTTATTTCTTGCTATTGTCATGCATTCAGGGCCTATTTGAAGTTAAATCTTTGTCACATGTTAGGCCTATGATTACATAACAACTTCAGCAAAGGTTGTTCCTAACACAGGCACACTTCACATGCTTTCCAAACATGGTACAGTTGACAATTGAGCAGAGAGTATTCCTGGTAACTCGATACCAGGAAACAAGAAGTTTCGTGGAAGTTCAAGATGCTTTTCGGGTGCAGTTCCCCGAGAGGCAGCCTCCAACAAAAAGAGCCATCTGGTACAATGTGAGAAAGTATGCTGATCACGGAACCAGTTTGAACAGGAATAAAGGACACTCTGGCCACAGACGAACTGGGAGGTCTGCTGAAACATCCAAGTGGTAAGAGAGGCCATCCAAGCCAACCCACGCATAAGCACCAGGAGAAATGATACTGGAATACCACGCGCAACTTTTAACAGAATAGCAAGACTGGATTTGCATCTCCATCCATATCATGTTCATGTTCAGCACCAACTTCTACCAGCTGATTTTCCCAGACGACTTCAATTTTCACAATGGTTTGTGAACCGGTGCAACCGAGATCGACAGTTCCTCCAGTTTTTAACCATCGGGGATGAAGCAACGTTTTCCATGGATGGAATGGTAAACACCCACAATGAGCACGAGTATGCTGAACTCCATCATCCACCGGGATATGCTTTTAATAAGAACATGAGCAGGGAGAAAGTGAGTGTCTGGATTGGTCTTTGTGGCAATGGTTCATTGGTGGGACCTTACTTTTTTGAAGGCAACATCAATGGCAGGGCGTACCTTGACATGCTGAACAATTTTATTGTGCCTGAGATGGAACAGATCTTCCCCCGACAACGACGTGGAGCATTCCGCAGGGCCTGGTGGGCTCAGGATGGGGCCCCAGTCCACAGACTTATTGCTGTGAGGAATCGTTTGACTGAACTCTTTGGCAATCGCATCATTGCTCTTCATTTCCCAGTTGAGTGGCCTGCACGTTCACCAGATCTGACACCATGCGATTTCTTTCTTTGGGGGTATCTTAAAGGAAAAGTGTTCCAAACCCCACCGGCCACAATTCAGGAGCTGAGGCAACAGATAACAGGTGAAGTGAACCGATTACGACAAGATCAGGGAATGATCAGGCGTGCTGTCAGGGACATGAGGAGGCGTTGCGAGCTTTGCATGGAAAGGAATGGCGGTCATGTCGAGGGTACACATCCCTAAGCTATGCTTGTAAGAAATCAGACATTTCCTATGTCATTTGATTGATGAACTTCCAGTGCAATTCTAACTTGCCACAGTGATGATTTCACACCCATTCACTAAGTTGAATCATGCTCAGTCATGCATGAGAGTTACATAACCTACGCGGTATCATTGGACAGAGGACTTATTGGACTATCTAACCATAAAAAATAATGTGTAAATCTTTTATAGTTTTCTGAAAATTTGCCGTTGAAGTTGGGTTTACTTTTTTTAGAGACACACTGTATATTGCAATAATCATAATCATGCCATTAGACATCAATCAATAAAGCATCAGAAAATTCTACTAATTTCTTTTCATAGCAAAATATATGTTTTATTGTCTTTGTATCATACATATATTTGTTACAAGGATTGCTATCCCATTTAAGTGCACAATTGTGCACACTGTTCACACGTAAATTGATATGAAATATAAAGCTACGATGCTAAATTACCAATAAAATATCCACCATGCCAGTAATATAAACAATAGAAAATACCTTTCATAGCTCCCCCCCCCCCCCCTGCAAAACTATAGAAACTTATACATATGTGTCTGTCATCAAGTTAGTACTCATACATGTATGAATGTCACTGATCCAAGATTTAAAAAAAAAATCAGCGTAGCTAATTTGTGCATTCATATCTACAAGTTTTCTTAATATCTTTGCTACCAAGGATGCAACTTATGATGTAGGATGACTACTAAATTCGTTTAGGCAGTCAATAGCCCCCCCCCCCCCCCCCAAAAAAAAAAAAAATAATAATAAATAAATAAATAAATAAATAAAAATTTTAAAAAAATAATAATAATTAAAAAAAAAAATAATAATAATAATAATAATAAATAAATAAATAAAAAAAATAAAAAAAATTAATATATAAAATTGAATTTAAAAACAAAAAGTATATATTTTCTTAAATAAATGAATAAAGAAAGTAAATTATACGAATAAAAAAAATAAAATAAAATACATAAAAAAAATAATTAATTACTAGATTATTCAAATAAAATAGATAAACAAATACATAAATAAATGAGAAAGTAAATAACAAAAATTGAGAAAAGATACTTGAAGGTATTAAACATATCAGAACTCTGGCAATAATTGGCAAATCACTTTCAATCACATTCCTCAGCTTTTTAAAATAATTTTATTAGTAAACTGTACAACAAATTTCATCATCTGAACCTTTAACAAATTTCAATAAAATG